ATATTATTTTTCTCTTTCCTTGCGTCTCTCTCTCGACAATTGACCGCGCGCTCAAATAGTCGGTGTTCATCTTTCCTTTCGTTCATCTTTCCTGTGCTCTTCTTTCCGTGCTCTTCTTTCCGTGCTCTTCTTTCCTGTGCTCATCTTTCCGTCTCCCGTGCTGATTGTGCCTCCTCTCACACACATATCCCTAAAACAAAAATTCATCTGTCTTTTCATATTCTAAAATAAATTCAAATTCCCATATTCCAAAACAAATATACAAAGATTAATAGTCCACTCTTTATTCAACATTAAAGCACAATAACAACATAGAACATTTTCTCGCATAAAAGTATAAACATTAAATTTCAAGGAATAAAATTTATTTCTTCTTAATTCAATAATATTATTTATATAAAAAAATAATTTTTTTCTCATTCTAAATCTAAATCTAAAACTTATTTTCCTTGTACAAAAGGTTATTTAAAAAAAGGGTTTATTTTTTCGGGATATCTTTCATGCTTAAATATAAATTAGGTTATTTCATTCTAAAAATAAAAAATTTCTTAAAGGAAACTCAAAAAAGAAATATAAATAGATTCAAAAATAACAAAAAACTAAAATATTTGTAAAAGAATAAATACAAAAAAGAAATTTCATGTATTTATCTAAATTATTTGTTTACTTATTTACTATTTATTCGGTCTTCTCTTAATGCTTCAAAAATCATTGTTAATTCGCTTTTTTACATTAAAATCACATCCATTTTTTTCTTTCTAGGTATGGGTATGGGTGAGTGAAAAGAAGATGTAAGTCCACGTCCACACCCACACCCCACACCCATGGAAGAAGTCTGAAATTGGCTCATAGCATGAAGATTAAGCAATGAAATTAGCTTTTTGTTAAATCAAACGGCACTATTTAACTAGTTGTTTTGAAAACCAGTATAAAAACGAAATTTACAAAGGATTCCATAGCAGAAAGATACTGTTTTTGGTAGCCCAACAAGTTCTTAGTGGAAATCGTGTAGACACCGAACGAGAAAAGATATAATTCTGACACTTGCAGGGAATGACGAAAAGCGTCCCTCGAATCCACTGTACCTATAAAAATCGATAATGTAATGAAACACTCTTAGATGCTAAAATTCGACTTAAGTTCGATTATTCAGAGACTTCTGTACCATTCACTAACTGAAAGATTTTGGCATCTCTGTATTTTCTCATATTTTGCTTTCGAATATTGAAAAGCGCAGATCGCTAGCTAGTTCGGTTCGAAAAATATTGAAAAAAGATTCACAAGCATTTTAATTTGCCAATGATAGTAACTGCTCGTCTTCCTCTCGCATAGAAGAGAAAATGGGTAATAGAACACCAAACAAAAGGTTATCGTTTCATTGAGTTGCTCTACGGCATATGTATGCGTCTTGTGATTAGTTTTCGTTTTCTCATTACGATTTCCTTTCTTTCTACAAGCATATTACTTGGTAAAAAGAGATAGAAGCTACCTTAAAACACAATGACATCATATTTTGTTTCATTCATCACTACCAACTGTATGCAAAAAGATGCATAAGTCTATACTTCTCATCTTTTGCGCTCTTCTACTCACTATTATTATTGCCAATCCAGTGAACAAAAATTCGTTGAAGCATAAGACAGTAACACACGCAAGACTCCGTAAAAAACTCCAGTCCAAGGTTGTTGCAGTCAAATCGAAGACGGACGCTATCAAATTTCTCACTCAATTTGGATTTGATCGATGCAAAAAATCTGTAGGTCCAAATCCTGGAGGGTACAAGGGTCCATACTGTCAATCGAGCTTCGGCTCGATGCTGGGAGACTTTCAAACTCACTATCATCTACCAGTAACCAAAAAACTGGATGCTGCTACACTCAAGCTAATGAATACACCACGATGTAGCTTGCCCGATTCTCCACTATCGTTGAAAGATAGAAACAAGCTGTGGTAATGTCTCTGCTTATTATCTCTGTGGTTTTTGCCCATGATAGTAGTCGTGTCTCCTAGGATAACGTTTTGAAAGGCGCTGTCAGGTTTTCTCCAAACAGTCAATTTTCAGTAAGATTAATTTTGATGCAGATAAACAGATATCTTGTTCTACTTCGTCCATTCTTTTCTCTCATTTCGCTACAGCTAACTTAAGCCGACATCAAAAATTATACTGGTACAGCTGTATGTTGAGAATAACATTCGATCATAGATCAACACAAGGCAGCATTCTTTCCGTGGTAGACATGAACGAATGTGCATGGATACGATGCGAAAGTCCTATATATTCCAAACTTTTACATAATCACAGTTCCGTTTTATATAGTCGTAGAGCAATTACTACCATTTCTTCCTATTGAACTGTTGTCAAACTTATTTTGTGGCAAAATATTAGATGGTTGACCAATTTTAGAAATAGTAGTCTTTTCAAGAACAAAAATATGTCAAATCGTTATATTTATACATTTTGTGTTTCGAGGTCGACGAGTCGCACACTCATATGGAAATTAGACCACGATCATTTCTTTTATGATATAACAAAAACTAGTCAACAAATTCAGCAAGCTTTTGATGACTGGGCTAGCTACACTAAATTAACTTTTCGTCAAGCGACTGCACAAGAAAAGGCTGATTTTCATTTGGTTTTTGCATATGGCAATCATTCAGATGAATATCCATTTGATGGGCGTGATGGAGTTCTAGCGCATGCCTTTCCTCTTGAACACCACCATCGTGGGTATGTTCATTTTGATTCATCTGAAATATGGTCAGACAAGTAAGTAGACACCTATAGGAACTTGATTGAGCTATTGTTGGAATACATAGGTATGATGGCATAGGTAACAATCTGCGTTTAGTCGCTTCGCATGAAATTGGACATAGTCTTGGCCTTGAACATAACAACGACGACAAATCAATTATGTATGCATTTTATCATGTAATTCTGCCAAAGAATATGTTGCCCAAACAAGTTAGTGAAATATTTATTCCTTCTTTTTCTCCTCTATTGCAAACGCTTTAAGCTTATACTAGAGTTCTACACGTGTGTAAGAAAAATAGGACTCGAGTCTAACCTACCCATGCGCCCAATGTTCTTCAATAGCTTTAGAAACGACAAGCAAGAGACCAGTAGAAGAGGAGAACTCGCAAATTTGGTTCAACTTTACGAATTTATGAATTATGACTCACGTCTTTCAACTGTCATCCGAACTCGAATTAACCCTTTGAGTACCGGATTATTTTTAAATAAAAAATTATCAAAAGTGACCATAAGTTTTTGACCCAGGGGCAGAAATATATGCAGGTTTGTTTAGAAAGACGTTCTCTATATAGTGATGTAGAGATTATCAAATTCTACTGCATACTCATAATTATATTAAGTTTGACTCGGTTCCGTACAATTCTGATTTTAGAATACTGTGCCACAAATCCCATCGTGTAGAATCGATCCGAATCTATTACAATTATGGATACGCAATGGAATCTGATAATCTGCATACCATTCGATAGAGCTAGTCTGGTTCTACAAATCTACATATATTCCGTAATAGGGTCAAAATTACTGCGAAACTTATAGCCACCTTTTAAACCAAGGTTTATTTTTAAAAATGGGATAATCAATAGTTATCAGTAAGTAAAGCTGATCCTAATGACACAAATATCCTAAACACAAATGTTCATGCAATTCATATTATCAAATAATCAAGAGATCATATTTTTAAAAGTTATTCAGGTCTAAGAATCTCAGGACGCGAATTCGCGTCGCCGGTACTCAAAGGGTTAAGGGTTTGCAACACTTTTAATTGAAACTTTGATCGTGGAGTTTTTAAGGCCCTTGCTCAGTAGTTATTGGTACTCTTACCTATGATCGCACTCGCTCCCAGGTCAAAGACGCCCGGCCGTAAACGGCCGTTTTTGATCGTATTTCGCCCTTTTGGTAGCGACAGTATTACGGCCGTATATGCATCGTGCCGTAAACGATGAAATACGCTGTTTCCAGGCCGTTTTTGACCGTTTGTAATCGTATACGACAAGAGGCATATACGGCCGTAAAACTGTCGCTACCAAACGGGCGAAATACGGTCCGTTTACGATCGTAACCTGTGATAAACGGTCGTTTACGGCTCGTTTACAGTCACCGTAATGTTCGACCTGGGCTGTCTTGATGGTATTCTGACATCGAGATTTCAGAATATGATAGTTGTGCCGATCACGGAAGTATAGGCTTAAGAGGACAAATGCGTTACAACTCGAAGGAATCAAACGTCGGAAAAAAAATTCTTAAACTCGAAAGATCGAATCCACTTTTCACATTGTCGATATGTGAACATAAAGGATCAGTGTGTGTTTGAGTGAGATTTGTGGTGAGAGTGCTAATGTGAGCTTTCTCTACATCCACAAAAATACCACACATCGACTGACTCACGTCGTTATTCTCACTCAGTTACTCATAGTCTCATCAATCCACTCTACTACCGGAGGCAACCTCAACTAGACTTAAAGTAAATGAGAGCAAGTATGCTTGTTTTAAAGTGATGCATTTTTTACGCTAACATCGGATAATTAAGAGTATTTAGCCTATACTCTCAAAGACCTAAATCTATATCCAATTCATTTAGTGCAGAAATTTATGTGAAAATCTAGCTGTAGTATTATACTCGCATGGTATACACATAGTACAAAAAGTATCGAACTACTTCATCATGTAACAGATATTACGAGATGATTAAGCATATTTTAAACTTATTCGCACATGGAATATTAGAAGCAAACGATTTTCTACAGAATAGGATGTTTCCTATTCCAAAATAACGTTATTTATCAGACGTATATCTAATTTGACGAGGGTCCAACCGTTGACTTTTGTTATATTAAAACAGGAAAACTGGAGAAAACAATATTTGGGCCGTCCGTAAATTGGATGTACTTCGGTTAAATAACCACACTTATGGGTAGAGGACATCTCATTTTATAGAGAATTGTTTTTTTTTCTATCATTCTATGTGCGAATAATTTTAATTTATACTCAACTACTTCGTTATAGGTGTCATTTGATAAAGTGGTCCAATACTTTCTATAGTACGAGAATGTGAAAATGCTTGAAAAACATACCGAAATTTCTATAATTTTGATAACTGTTAAAACTACACCGAAACATCAAGCAAAATTTTTTGAAGGTTTGGAAACTTCTACGACATCACGAAAAGTGCGGAAGCTCTAGTAATAGCGTGTTTGAAGAATGTTTAAAAATTCGAAAGGTAACAGAAATATCCGAGATATTAGAGATTTCGAAGAAATAATTCCTAAATCTTCTGGCAATTTTGAAATTTCATTTTTCCCGCAATCTAAATAATGCTAACGCTTATGGAACCTGTTCAAAGTTAATCAATTGATTCCCCTTCTCGTCTTCACATGGGAATTTTGCAGAATACACCATAGCTGCAGATGCTTTTTTTTTTAGGTTATTTCTTCCTCTTCGAACATTAATGTACACTAATAGATGATAAGACTGATTGTTTCGCACCGAAACGTGCTTGCAACGAAATATTTGTGACTTGTTGATCAGCCATCTTTTCGAGAACAGATACATGCTAAGGTCATACCAAAAATAGTGGCGGAGGTACTTTAATTCTTTATAAAAGCATTAAGAAACTTTCTTTCTATATAGTCTGGTAGAGAAAAGAATGGTCTATTTTTCTATGCTATTTGTGCGTATTTCGACTAATATCATAATAATAAACTTTCGATAAGACTTGTTTTACTATGATATGTGCTTGGTAGTACTAGTGCCTATTCGGTGTATATTTTGTTGAATAACTTTTGATACAAACAAGATAGAGAATTGCGGTTTTCATCGTTCGAAAGAGGAGACCAACATTCATTGAGTCACATGTTATAGGTTTTTTCGACGTGACATTTTTAAAGGTTTTTAATCAATCTTTTTGAAAACAAACCTACTCGTGAGGTGTTTATTGAACCCGCTGATGAAAGACCTACAAAACTGTACAAGGTTCAGAGATTTAGAATTAATCATTCAGAGGTAATACGTATTCTCGTCGAAGTTTTAAGTGATTGTTCTGGCAATTTCTGTAAGAGAATTTCTTACTGTTTCCCTTTTGATAAGAAACCATTTTGAATCTGTTTGTCAATGGTCGGAAGGTGCACCCGTAGTTTAGAGTGGGTTTTCTCTTCATTCAACCACTTTCACTCTCAAACGTCCTCAGTCTACGAGGGCTGGAGAGTATCCCCCAAAATCGAGAAATTTTTCCACTTATAACAGAAATCCTTTACCCCACACAATGTCAAGCAGAAACGGTTTTTATAGCGAAGCACAATCCATCATTAAACATTTTCTATTAGAAACGCATAAAACATTTCTACCCTCACAAGGAGAATTATATAAAATATAAGGAGAAACCCATCAGATTCTTCTCACGTGATAAGAAGAAATGTATCAAATTATTTTTCCAATATAAGATGAAATTCTAGGGAAAATGTTTTTTTTTGCAGCAGAAATGTAAATATTTCTAGCATAAATCGTTCATCCATTTGAACCTTAATAAGCAGAAGCGAAAAATGAAAAATAGGGCGTGAAGTGGGGATTGTTAGATATACGCTTGTATTCTTTCGTCCTGTTTCTTCGCACTGGAGTATATCTTTAGGGTAAATTAAACATGATAAATGTATGTTTATATTCTGTTTTCCATTTCTCCTTGATACGTATGTCTTTTTGTGCGGTGATCCATTTCTCCTTAAATGGGAACAATTTCCCATCGATTGGTTCAATCGTCTACTGGTGCACTCTACAGATAAAAAGCTTTTGGTGTAATCATCATGGAGTTCAAATGTGAAACGAAATGAATTTGTTCTACTCATAAAAGGGAGTCCTACGCAGGTCGGCCATATTATCTGAGAGAGTCGAATATACTTATATATTGAAATGTCTGTCATGGTCTAGAACTCTATCGAGGTTTTGCATTATCTCTGCCTGCTACAGTCTCTGAGACAAGTCGTGGGGTAAGGGATTCACTTTTCTCAGCATAAGATTCAACAATTCTTTGTAACTATGTTTCGTAAAGAAATGAGAAATTTGGTTCTCACAAATAAGGCAGAACAGCTTGAATGATATAAAAACTTTCCTTAAAAATGGCCAGACTGCCGTCACCTTTTCCATACATTGTTACTGTCTGCTTCTTCTGAAAGGCTTTCTAACAATGTATGAGAGGTAAGAATACAGAAAGAAATCATGAAATCGTAAGGGTTCAAATAGAAAGATAATTCTAATGATTTTTTTCAACCACTTTCTAGGATCAGAACCGTATTCAACAACTGTATGGAAAAAAGCAACAGAAGATAACAACTTCCTATTCAAGTACAAGCGCTCAAACGACAACTACTGCAAAACACACAACAGCAACTCGAAAAAGTCAGTGAATAGCGATGATTGGGAAGACTCCCAACCAAGGCATATTATCCATGGAAGCTAGAAGCAGTACAACTGTGCTTCGGATAGCTGAAGAACGCAAGCAACCAATAAACTGCGCTTTAAGTTATAGGAAAGAACAGGAGCGCAAAATCTGGGAGGCGGTTACCTACAGCCTTAAGAAACATCGATAGGATGTCATTGTTCGTCAACTGTTTTATGGGCTTTGACAGAAAACAGTCTTCGAAAAAGAGGATTTTCATGGAGAATTCTTTCGCTTTATTCAAAACATGTTTCACTCCGTGAGCTAAGGACAAGGGCATATAAGCACTTGGTTTGGCCCATAGGACTTTTTCACACTGAATTTAGCACAATCATATATACGATGCAAGAACTTAAATCGGCGAGCATTTTGATACTAGATTTGAGCTATATTTCAGGCATATTTGAGGATTTCCACAACCACATACTGATTATATGAATATGCTACATTATCTCTTGATCTCGATAAGATATGCATGCGAAACTAAGCTACTTTGCATATAAGTATTGCGAAAATCGGAAATGCTTCGAAGTGCATTCGATAGCCCCAGTTTCAGACTATATTTTTATCCGAAAGTCAACTTATCCATGCATTGTTTTAGAGAACTTTAGGGTATGAAAGAGTCCTACTGGGAATACATAGCGATGATAGTAGTCTTTCAGATCTATTGTAAATATGTAAACTCAAGAAAGTCAGCTTCTATTGTAGTCTGTTTGATAGCATTTTTCACGGGCTACAAACTCCTACAATTTTTAAAATTATTAAAGGTGAATCATAAAAAGTCAAGAACCATACTGTAAAAATGCTGTCAATTTCGTATGTATAATATAACATAGTTGATTTATTATTTCTCTTAAAATCAGAAGAAGCTAGCTTCTATTACAACTCGTCAAGCGCCACTTTGGATAAACGACAAAACTCTATCTTTTATTAAATCAAAAACGTGAAATCACTATCATGAAATACGTACATACTGTTTTAGTAGATCTTCAACAAATGTGATATCATTTCTATTCATTTTATTCTTTTCAAAAATCAAATAGGGCATGAAATATGATAGACAATTTATATCACCATCGGTATCTAGGTTACTTGAAGTATGCTAGATAATTGCTCTAAGACTATCAGTTACGTTACACTAGCACTCATCAGACTTGAGAGTGAGGTGTGGGCGTGGGCGTGGGCGTGGGCGTGGGTGTGGATGTGGGGAATGGATGTGGGGAATGGATGTGGGGAATGGATGTGGCTGTGGATGTGGATGTTTCATTCTTCAAACATACCCACACACCCAACCCACATCCACACTCACATCCACCCACATCCATCTCTTCGACAGAGGTAAGGAAGATTCTTGTTTTTGTTTGCTCATTGTAGTGAGTTCCAATATTGCAGACAATGCCCGATGGATACAGAAAGCGGTGACTGTTGCTGGAGGTCATGGAGAAGGCAATGCTACCAATCAACTTAATCACCCTCGTGGTCTCTTTGTTGATGATGATCAAACAATAATCATCGCTGACACTGACAATCATCGTATCATACAATGGAAGATAAATAAGACGAATGGACAAGTGGTAGCTGGTGGTAATGGCCAAGGAAATCGATTGGATCAGTTAGATCGACCAACTGATGTATTAATCGACAAAGAGACATATAGTCTCATTATTTGTGATCGAGGAAATCGACGAATCGTACGATGGTCTCGTCATAGCGGAGCAACTCAAAGAGAAATCCTTATCGACAACGTCGCTTGTCGAACATTGGCCATGGATGATCAGAAATGTCTCTACATTTCTGACGCCGACAAAAATGAAGTAAGACGATATCAAATAGGAGACAAGAATGGAACTATAGTGGCTGGTGGCTATGGCAAAGATGATGGTCTCAATCAACTCAATGATCCGTACTTCATCTTTGTCGATCATCAACAGGTTGTCTATGTGTCAGACAAAGACAATCATGCCGTGATGCAAGGGAAAAACGGAGCAAAAGAAGGAATTGTCGTCGCCGGAGGCCAAGGCTACGGGAGCGCTCTGGCACAATTATCGTATCCTTACGGACTGTTCGTTGATACGTTGGCTACCATCTATGTATCGGACTCGTTGAATAATCGAGTGGTGCGTTGGCCTAAAGGAGCGAAACAGGGCACGGTCATTGTGGGTGGAAATGGTTATGGAGAAGGAGCAAATCAATTCAAAGGTCCCGTCGGTTTGTCCTTCGATCGGCATGGCAATCTCTATGTAGTTGATCATTGGAATAATCGTGTTCAACGATTCTCTATCGAATAGACTCATTACGATGGATTAATTTTTTCCTTATCTTTCTGTCAAATAAACTATGTTGATTCATTACAGGAATCATTATTCTATTTGCGCGCGATCAACAACCATCCTGGTGGAGCCGTGGCGAGTGACAGGCTTGAATCATTCACATCGAGATGGAGTGTGACTGTGGTTATGGGTGTAGGTGGGATGGATGCGTTATTAATAAAATACGGTCTCAGTCACTCTCATCCACTCTGATCGCCGTTTAATTCGAAGATAGTATCAATCGATAGAGCATAACCATCTCAATTCATGTGCTCCTGGTCCGACTCATTTTCTTTAAAAGATCTTATACAAAAGAATTAAATATCATTTTTATGATTCCACTCTCACCCATCCTGACCCGCCTCTCACCCACATTTTAACAAGAGGGTGCGCGGATGGCTATGGTTATGGGTGTTAGTGCGGGCGTAGATGAGTGTGGGTGTGGATGGAGAGAAGACCCACGCCCACACACATTCATACGCACTCCCATATCCGCACTACACCTCACACCCACGGCCAAATCCATACTCACATCCACACCGACACCCCACACCCACCCACTCACACCCCTAACTGTTGCCCATATGCTGAGAGAAAAAGAGAAATGATTTGATAAAAGAAAAAATCTCGCTTTGTAGTTCCTGGGATTGATATTTGAATAGAAAACCAAATGTATGCTTATAGTATTTAAATATAAAAAAAAATATTTTGTTTGAGTAGTGGACGAAAAGCATCGTTGACATCTTGAATTTTCCTATTTTTTTGAACTTGTTGCTTTTATTCGAAAATTTTCAGTACACTTTGAGCCATGTAAACGAAGGGTAAATTGGACACATTCATTTTTCGACTTGAACACTTCTGTAAAAAATTTCTGCTGGAAAAATTTGAATTTTTCCACTTGGAAAAATGATTTAAGGCTTTCGTGTGTCTTTAGAGACTTACCCATCATTGAACAAGTCCAAAGCATCATTCATGCAAGTCATATTTTTACTGATCAGGACAAATGTACTGATTTCATCAACGGCATTAAGATTGAACGAGTTTTTCTCATAATTTCGGGTGACATCAATCGAGATTTTATCATATGCCTACATGATTTCCAACAACTCGATTCGATATATATCTTGAGTGATATCGAATCAGTCGATTATAATTGTTTGAGAAAAGTCAACGGTGTTTTCAGTTTAATGGACAATCTCTGTCAATCTCTTAGACAAAGAAAACGAAAAATGGAACAAACTCTTACTGGCATTACTCTTTCGACATCGAATTTTCGTGAAATGAATCCGTCATTCATGTATTCACATCTATTAAAGATGTTCTGTTCGATATTAAATATAATGATGATGATAAACATACATTTGTCGAGTTTGCAAAAGCACAATACATTGGTAATCTTAGAGCTCATGAGATATTGAACGATTTCGAGCAAGATCAAAAACATACGCCTATTTGGTGGTATACACGCGAATGTTTTCTCTATTCAATGCTCAATTGTGCATTACGATTACCAGAAATCGATATTCTTCACAAGCTTGGTTTTTTCATACGAGATTTGCATTTACAACTCGATCAAATGTGAACACAAGAATTCGGGCAAACTCCCATGACAGTATATCGCGGTTAAGGGTAAGCAAAAAAAGATAAGCATTAAAGACTATCACGTTTATCCTTATTTAGCCTCAACCTTGCTGATTTTGTGCATATTCCATCGACTTCCGGTGGTTTGATTTCTTTCAACAACTTTCTCTCAACTAGTCGTGATAAGAATGTTGCATTTAGTAAAGCTGAATCAACAAGCGAAAGCCATGATATCGTGGGCATTCTCGTTATTATGACAATTGATCCAAGTGTAAGCTCGACGCCGTTCGCTCCTATTGACAATGAAAGTTATTTCGGAAGCGATGAACAAGAAGTACTCTTCTCTATGCATACTGTATTTCGTATCGGTGAAGTCTTGGAATTACAGCCTAATCTATTCGAAATACACCTTACATTGACTCAAGACAACGATGAACAAATGCATCAACTCACCGAATATCTACGATATGAAATAGGAGCAATAGATAATGGTCTTCATCGTCTCGGTCAATTGGCAGTACGCATGGGCGAATGGACCAAAGCAAAGAGCATATATGAAATGAAACTCGAGCAGGTCATCGACTCTCAACATACCGAAGCGATGGCTCAAGCTTACCATCAGTTAGGTTACATATATAGTCGATTGGAGGACTTTGATACGACTCTACAATATTTGCGACAATCATTAAATGTTCTGGCCAAATACAAAAAGATCAACTTTTTTCCTGACGCAGCTAGTATCTATTCGGTCATCGGTGAGGTCCTTCTTGAGCAAGGCACTGATATTCAAGGCGCCTTAGAAAATTTCTACCAAGCACTTGAGATTCGACGCAAAAATCGTCTAAATGATCCTCAGGCAAGTCTTGAGTGACGGAAAGTAACATGGATGAATCCATCCTGTCTAAATGAATGGTGCATATTAGGTGTGATAAGTTATTGTTTCTTAATTGGTATTAATAGCAATAACAATAAATTCTCACTAGGTGGTATGTTCGTTGACAAAATGGGCATGATTTCATGACTGAAAATGATTGAATGGAACTTTCATAGAAGATCAAGCTAGTTTTTCTTACTCAGAATCCGTAAAAATATTTCGTTGCCCTTGCCGCTTCTTTGAGATATAAGTAAAAAAGTGCTGTAGATGGCTCCACTTCTGCACTTGTTTTGTGTTTGTCTGAAAAATACCTTAAGAATGCTGCAAGGGTAACAAAAGATTTTTACAGATTCTGAGTAAGAAAAATTAGCTTGATCTTCTATGAAAGTTTCATTCAATCATTTTCAGTCATGAAATCATGTCCACTTTATCAGCAAACATACCAAGGGATGTCCAGGTATCGTTACTAGATAACTAGTATGTCTGGTAACGGAAAACTGATGAGCTTCATTATTTTCGTCCAGCAAATAATAATATGAAAAATTAATGATTTTTTCACAGTCAACTGTAAATTTTTGGGGCCGAGAAACCCAAATCTAATGGCAGTTTTTGAGAATTTTGAAATTGATTTTCTCACTCCAAGAGGCATTAAAAAAGCGATTTGAACTGAGTCTTTTAAAAGTCAATAAAATGTTTTCGGGGTTGAGGAATCCGATTATTAAAGTAGTTTTATTCTTCTAGAAGTGAGAAAGAGAGATAGGAAAATTTCTCAAATCTGTCTCGAGAACTTTTCAGGTTCCCTTTTGCTGCTTCTCGAAGGAATAAATTACGGATCGGGCTAAATTTTTTAAAATCCTTGACGAAACATTTTCGGGCAAGGGATCTGAATCTAATGGTACTATTTCAAAATTTAGACATCGATTTTCTCACTCCTAGAAGCAGGGTGTAGGCGTGGATGTGAGTATGGATGTAGGGTGTGCTGTAGCTATGGATCCGACTATTTTTTATCCACATCCACGCTCACACACCCATCCCACATTCACACTCACTTCACCCCACGCCCAAACTCATCCACACTCACACCCCAAGAGAGAAAATTAGAACTTAAAAAATATTTGTTCTTATAATTTTGAGCAGTAGTGTAGGTGGTCAGCACTGGTTACTCTATCATCTTAGATAATGCTAACTTTTCAGAGTCGAGCCTACCTTTATTATGAAGATCTTAATGATATTTTATAGGTAAATTTAAGCTCGAAGTCTTCTTTTAAAATTTGCAATCATAAACAATTCATTACAACTATGGTTTGGCGAAAATTTCATACACGAGACAAATTCGTTTTTCTGCTTTGAAAATTATTATTTGTTTCTATTGAAACAAAATTGTAACCAATTATATGTATCCAGAACTGGTATCTGTCGAATAGAATCAATTAAAGCTTGGAAAATCACCATTACAAGCTAACTCAAATAAAAATGCTTATGAATAGAAACTTTCAGGCACAACTGAAAATGGGATTTTTTATCAATGAAGATCTATGCAATCAGAATTTGCGAAAGTCACTTCGGTGTAAAAAACATTTTATCTGACTGTGCTCGTAAATTACTATCTTTGAAATATTTTTTCTCAATTTTTCTGTAGTCCTGGTGGGTAAAATTAATCTTTGCTTCTTTTTCTATTCACATAGATACTTGCGAAGCAGTACATTCTGATTGGCTCGGCTTTACAAGCACTTCATCGTGGTGACGAAGCCCTTCAAAAAATGAATGAAGCGCTAAACATTCAACTTCGTTCTTTGCCCCAACATCATATGAATACGGCAACGACATATAGTAGTATCGGTAGCATCTATTATAATCAAAAAAACTTCGAAAATGCCCTATTCCACTGTGAGAAAGCACTTCAAGTGTTCCAACGTTGTCGCCATGCGAATCATCCCGACTTGGCGGTCACCCACATCAATATGGCCATGCATCTGGGTCATCTACAGCGTTTTGACAAAGCCATAGAACATGCTGAGGCGTCCGTGGAAATTCCGAGATGTTATCTTTCGCCAGATCATTCCGATTTTCAGTGGCAGGAGCACTGTCTGGACTGATTACGTAGAGAGTTTGCGCGATCGAAGAGCAAGTCAGCGAAAAGTCAATAGCGAAATATGAATTTGGAATCCATCTGATTCGATCTTCATTGAAAATTCGAGCACTGTATTTTATTTATCTAATTGGCCCGTTTCAAATCATTTTTTCTATTGAAAATGTTAAGATTTCTGATGATACGCGCTATTTCTGATTTCAAGTAAATCTTTTTGAACTGGCAAAGGCTTATGAAATAATAATTATAAGCAGCAACCATCTATGGTCCCAATCATACTTTTTTCGTTAATTTTTTTGTGAAATGCTGTACTTAGTGCTACACGAGATACATTGGCTGATCAGTGGGTGTGGTTAGTCAGCAGAAAACACCAAACAGACACAAGGACCAAAAGAACTATCTTGAATGAAATTGCGCTTCAAAGAGGCATGCGTATCACTCGCAAACAATTTTATCTATCAACTGTTCAGTGAGCGTGTGAGTGTGGATGTCAAAAGAAGAATACGCCCACACCTACACTCATACCTACCTATACCCACCCATCCACACCCACATCATCTGCATTTGTGAGGATTAGCGAAATTTTTATCACTTTCATTGTGATGGTAAACAGCCGCATGAGCTTTAGAAAAGATTGGAGAGAATGGATGTAGATCTTGACTAATGCATCATTAAAATTTGCTAATCGATAAGAACGCTTCAATCCCATGGTTTCATACTTTAATAATCTACTTGCTCGTCTATGTGAACTTGTTTTATTTGGATAGTCAGACTTTTATCCGAAGGGCAAAAACAAATTTTTGTATTGATTCACTGAGAAAAATGGTTTGTTAATTTTATTAATCAATAATCACTTTTTCATAAATAAAGATCTTTTAGTCTGTTTCCCAAACATACCTTTAAAAGCCGACGATGGGTGCGATGAGTGGTCGAAACTTGAAAAATTGTTTTCTCGTTCTGTTCGAGTGTCGAGCTCCTGGAAACACTTTCCCAACGCGCGTTTATTTTCGACCTCTCTGGCATATTTTGACCGGTCGAAAACTATCGAAACGTCGACTATTCGGCGAGAGTAAACCCATCGAAAAACATAGTTTCGATTGATTGTTTTAACTTTTATTACTAAAAACTTTCTTGAAATTTGGTTTTCGACCAATATTTACTCTTATTGCATGATCACCATTGGAGAATTTTTGCTTACTAGATGCTTTTACATGGTTTTATAATTTAAACAATATTACTTCTAATCTACAAATAGAACCATGCTAGAAATACGTTTACAGTCCTGATGACAAGACAATCATAATGAGTTTCACTTTCTGAACACCCGAAACATCCTGAGCTCTTGAATGACTCTGATTTCAGATTACTCGTTGGCAAAGAATTAGTTGATAGGATCATTTAGGACGATTGATTTGTTTTCTGGTCCTCACACCTACTGGATTGTCGATGATTTTAAATTTAATAGGAATAGATAAGTCGAATTTGTTGTCATTCTAGTTTCCATATTTTTTTATTGCTTATTTTTATGTGGTCTAATTAATTCTAGTGTAGTTTATGCTTTAGTATAAGTCTTCTATTTGATAGAATCAAACTTATAACAGATAGAATTGCTTTCGCTTATCATCAATTATAGCAATATTATATACCACGCGCAGTTTCTGAAAAAAACCATTAAAATTATATTTAAACAATGTAGAAAAAATATTTCTCTCATCTACTCTTTATACGTTATATTTAGTTCATCTGATCTATGTGAACTTTAAAATCGTAAGTATACATGCTCGAATCCTCTCTTCTGAGAAAATATCCGATAGATATCGGGAGCTCGAAAAAATCAGGAATAGGTAACGAAAATTTTCAAATTTCACAAGATGTTCGAGTGTTCGAAATATCGACCATTCGAAACTTTACTAATATGACCTATCGAAACCCATCGGAGATGGATGCCTCGAGAGCATCGAGCTTCCAAATCGACGTCTCGAAATACCTATCGAGTGACAGCTTATGTTTGAATGATAGAAAGAATAGATGAGAGAAATATTTATTATCTGAAGGTGAGAGGATTTTTATTATTTCGATAAAATATCGATTATTTAATTAGTTTTATGGGACAACGTCTTTCCATTGTTTAAAAGGATGTTCTTTAGCATTTTTTGCATTTTCCATTTTATAATAACGAAATTTATTTTTAATTCCAGTGTGAATTGTATTGAAATCATCTTCATTTAGTTTGAATTTATTTTCTTTAAATAAATTAAAATTCTCTCGAATTCATTGTTCATTTGATGATTTAACAATACAAACTATATTTCGATCCATTATATAACGAAGAAGAATAGTAGCTGAATCAACATTATATTTTTCCGCAATTGACTTTATAACTTTATCTTCTAAGATTTCCGGATCATCTTTTTGTTTCCATACTCGTTTTTTGGCACCTATATAGTTTTTAAATTAAAAAAAAAGAACATTAAATAATTAAATCAAATGATAACTCTAACCTAATGGAGCATAAGCTTCGAGAAGAATATTATATTTTTTACAAAATTTTTCTAATTCAATTTGTGGGCAATAAGGATGAATCTCAACTTGATTAACAACTGGTTTGTATTTACATATATTAATAATACGATCAATTTGTTGCTCATTAAAATTTGATAATCCAATAGATTTAACTAATCCTTCATCGACTAATAATTCCATTGCTTTCCACGTTCCAGTAAAATCCATTACATCATCAACTTTTAATTCACCTTCTTCGTGTTTATTTGGATCCTTAACAAAGGAAAAAAAAAAGGAAATTGTCGAAATAGAAAAATAAATATACATAACCTGATCGACAAAAGCAAATGACCAATGAATAAGAAAAAGATCAAGATATTGACATTGAAGATCATCTATTGTTATTAAACATTGTTCACGTACACGTTTACTTTTATAAAATGAACACCAAAGTTTACCGGTTAAAAATAAATCAGATCGTTTTATTTCACCTTTTCTGAATTGATTAGAAAACCTTTCCCAATACTTTTTTCATTTTCATAAAGCCGAGCACAATCAATATGACGATAACCAACAGAAAAAGCTGTTCAATAATCGATGGAGATTTATTCAATAAAAAATCTAGAGCGGATTAAATGTATTAACAATCGTCAGAAGTTGTGTCATATATTCAAGAAATTAAGAATGAGGAAGATAAACTTATATTTTCTTTCACCATCTCTCGACGAAGTTTTTAAGATACTCTTTTGAACTCATTCAGGATGAAGCACATTTCATAGAAAATAAGATTATTTCCCTCATACACGATATTTTTTTCAACGTCATACTATAGATTGTCGAAAAGATATCTTGCTAATTCGAGACAATCGTTAATATTACCTAAGATTTTCTTCTAATATGGCAATCAAATCAATTTTCTCATACAAATCATGTCATTTAATAATTATTATCTGGCAAGATTTGCCTCTATATGGGTAAAGCGTCACACAAATACTTTTACTACCAATTAGAGAACTATTTATTAGTAATCGACGGAGAGAGATTGGCTGTCTAGATCAGTATGTATGACAAGGAAAGATACATTTTTCGAGTTAAAGTGAAACACGAAATGTCATATGTGTTTGACAAAAAGAGAAAATAGCACAATGCCGACAATTGCAAAAATAACAGAATTGAACTGACTTTGAAATTGAAGTTGATTAATTTATAATCTAATACACATGAGTAAAACGAGTTTACATTAATCTACTTCGACTTCTTAACAATGAATAGTGACTCTTTTATCTTGATGCTTTCGAATATCGACAAAAGAGATTTATGAATTTCGTTTCTCCCACTCTACTTCTATTGGTCGATACTAATCACTACAATTGATATGAATATAAGCTGAAAGCATGCCTTTTCTGCAACATGAATACTTTATCCGTGACCGGTTTTGTTTGACGGATAGATGAAGCTATCACAGATCAAAACTGGTTATGCTTGTACTGATCGAAAAGCTGAGAACAGAAGCGGCTGCCATCACAGAAAAACGATACGAGAAATACAACAGATGGATGAAATAAAAAAATGCACGGATTGTATTAGTATAATGATGTGTACACGGATAAAGATTACTGATTAAAGAAAAAAGATACTTTTGTCAACTAAAGCCGAAAAAAAACAAAAACAATGAAATTCGATATTCAATGAGACACACAGAAACAAAGTATACAAAGAGAAGAAAACATAAAACAATATACTACATCATTATTCTAGACTATGATAGAATGTTCGACTATTTTTATGTCGACATTTTGCCATGTCGCTATCAGAAATATCTGATAGAACTGAAGCTACTCATCATCATAGACACACAAGATAAGAAGCAAACCTATCAAAACCATTCTCTTGTTACTATCCAAATTTTCCATCCACTTTTTTTTACTTAAATGTGCTGATTATCTATTGTAGCGAAAACAAAAATGGATGATTCTCTATACTTGAGTGATCTTTCAAAGTCAATATTAAATTAAAATGAATAAATAAAAAGTTTGATTTTATTAAAATAATGATTACCGAGAGAAAATAAAATTTTAACATTGTTTTCCAAGAAGAATATTATGCTGATTTCCGGAGCAGATGCCTAATTCGAGTTCGAATATAAACGAAAAATCCAGAAAAAAGCCGCTTCCATGTTCCGGAAGCATAAAAGCAAAAAAAAGCTTGTATAAATTATAACTTATATAAACTTTTAAATGGTAAGGCACACCTATCCTGAAAGAGCAACAAAGCAAAAGAAAAAGTTTGCATCAATTATTATTTATAAATGATAAGGCATACCCATGTTGAAATAGCAAAAAAAGCAAAAGAAAAACTTTATATAAATTATAATTGAGGGTGTGGGTTGTCGGTACGGGTATGAGTGTGGGTATGGGATGTGAGGTGTGGGGTATGAGTGTGAATCAATAAGAGTCTAATCCACACCCACACACCACACCCACACTCAACACCCATACCCACATCCACACCCTCAACTGTAAACTACGACATGGATAAAGTAACGACCCTTTGATGAGTAAATTAAATTTTAAAAAAATTAGAATAAAAAGAAATTTTATGAAAATGGTGTTGCTTGTCTCTTTCGTTTGTATTCTCTGATGTTCTCTAATCTCTGGTATGATGTGTGACAAGATTAGATGTGATATATTACTATTGCTCCGTTGCTTTTTTTTGTAGAATAATCTTTATTTATTTATCTTTCTTTTTTTCTTTTTCATACGTGTGCACTGTAAGGATTTAGACGGTCGCTGGTTATTTTGCAACATAAACTTTAAAAAGAAATTGGTTTCCGTCGCGTGTTTTAGAAAAAAGAAAGTTAATTTCTGATGATTCTTGTTAGATCAAACTTCATGATCCCAAAGTTTTGATTGCATGATCAAGTAGTGCCAAGTTAATAGTCTTTAGAAACAGATCTGACCATCTTCTATCGAATCGGTCCAAAGAAATCGAACTGCGAAGATAAGTAACTTTTGAATGTAATATATCAAAAGAATATTTTGTGGTACATAGGTACGCTTGCCTTGAAATTGTAGAATTTACAAGTACGCGTTATTTATAGTGAAACCATGACTATTAATCATATATAGATTCTACTTTATTTAAAAACTAAACAAAAAAAGACTAACGATTCAATGTTGCTAAACCACACTACATTGCTCTACATTCGTAGTAACTACAGTTGTAATTTGCAGCAACTTCGTGAAAGAAACTTTCATGTGCCCAGTTGGAAGAATCTATATCAGTATTACACGTAGGCGCCACTTGAATTACACTTGCATAGTAATTGCGTATGCACCACTCTCGTCGGTTGCCCGTCTTCACATCAACATCTGCCAAGTACGAGAGTCGTTGTGGTTTGTTTTTGTCATATTTAAAAAGAGCCAAATTAGGATGGTCACTTTGACATTCGTAGCTCGTTCTTAACACGTTGTATGTGGCATAAATATCTAGTAGAAAGAATGGAATCAATGTTTTATATTCAACCATAAGTTTATATCTCCGTTTCTTTATTATACCGAACAAGCTTCGATAGGAATATCAATAATGAATGAAGCAATATCTTTTCCCTAAGTATGAAAGTATTCTTTTCTTTAAACTTAATCTATGATAGAGAAGCTTTCGATACTAAAGGATTCCTTCTCGAGAGGTTGGTAACACTTAGTTTCTGTGTCGATAAATGGCTTCGAGCTGTGTGATTCTCATGAATTAGTACTTTTCCAAAAATCTTTAAAAGAAGAAACTTAGAAACCTGTGGTTATGTATTTACAAGTAAAATGAAAGAGCGAGGTGTGTTGTAAAGTTTCATGTAAGATCTTACTGAAAGTATTTAAAAGTTCATTCATATAATAAAAATTAAATCAGAAATGAGTTCATCGAAAATAGACTTTATTATTTAAAAGGATAACATGGTGGTTTTCAATGAATTCCCTCTTTGAATGTCTCTATCATATAAATTATAAAGCAGTTCAATTTTCGCTACTTCCGAATATAATTTCATTTTACAGACAAGTTAATACTAAATCGTCGAAATTGCAAGATATTGGTTTTTCTTTCATACTAATTAAAGTCGAGGCAAACGATTAAAAATAAGATACTAGTCAATATCAAGAATGTATTGAGAAGACCCAAAAAGATTAGATGTTGTTGAAAAACTGAGAAAAAGAAAGATCACATCTCAAAATTTGTGAATGAAGACAAGAAATTGACAACAAGAGGTATCGCACACATAACTGACGTACGATGACAAAGCAAAACAGCTGTAAAACCGGTTGGTACATGAAAAACCTAGTGTAATAACCGCTATATTAGCACTGCTAATTTCTCTTAATAAAAAGGCGTTTGAATAATGGAATCAGACCGTTCATCGCCATAGGTTTCTCTCGTGTGCCAGATCTTCATGATGATGCTTGCCAACTAAATACGGACAGTATTCCAGTCTTTTTGCCCAAAGGTCGGAAAAAGTGATTTTTCTGGACCAAGAAAAAGAAAGTGATGCATATTTTTCTGAATGATGATACAATGAATTCAATGAAATGAAATATTTAGTTTGATCACTGCTTAGGCTCTGATGTTGAGTTTGAAAAATATAAGTTTTCGTAGGGTAAACGTAAAAGCAGAATAGAGAAATTTTGAAAATGTCGAAAAGAATTATGTTTTTTTATAAAACACGACATGCAAGCTTTTTTTCAACCTGAAAAAGAATGGTTACAAAAGCTTAAAACGACTTTGTCTTAATCAACAAATCAAGCTTTATCACACCATATATAAAAAAATATGAGAAATATTTTACTTGAATTTCGCGTTGCTAGCACCTAACAAATGATCAACTAAAAACGATTCAGACATTAAAAATTCCTCTTTTGCTCTTTTTCTTACAATCAAATTTACCTGTTTAATTATCGATAACTGTTTGATTTGTTTACAATAAGAAGACTTGCTATAGATACTGAGAAAGACATATTAAAATATGCACAAATTACTTTGATAACCTGAAGGATCACCTACACCCACTATTGCAGTATCTAGCTTGGTGTGAAGACATTGACCACTCTCAAGATGCCAAATCGCACCAGGATTGCCGACAAGAACAAAAAGTGACCTGTTGCTTCGACATTCAGCTTGCCTATCTTCTTTCGTTGTCAAGCCACCAAGGTAGACAAACCCTAAACATATTACCATGCTTCTCTATTCATACACCGTACAAAAAAGAGACGATGCAATTACTTGAAGAAGTACCCCAAAATACCAGCTCTATCAAGTTGCCTCGATAACGTTGTGGTCCCCATGCTGCCGCACATATACTGGCATTCAAGTGAGCATTGGTTGACCATCGAAATGTATGTGTCTCCTTAATCGTGTCGTGCAACGGTATAAGATGAGTTACACCAACGAACACAATCAGCAACTGGAGCAGACAGCTGTAGAAATTCATCAGATTTCTAGACAACATTAAGGAAACTACGATTAAATATTAAATTCAACAATTGCACTATTACCGAAACGTATTCAACGATTATAACCAACAAAACAAAGAGAATAGAAAAATACTATTTTCATCGCTCCCTCATATAACTCATGTTAAATGTTATTCGCTTCTTTTTTCTATGCAGTTCGAAAGGTCACATGAATTCATTTTTTCTCTTTCTCAAAAGTTCAATAGGTCATACCAATCAAACGAATGAACCTCTAATGAAAAGATAAATTTAATCTGTTGTTCTCAAGTTTCGTTTTTCATCAATCATTCTTATCGATCGATGATGTAAGAGCTTAAATGCCTGCTAAGAAGACACTACACTCCATTGATAACTTACTCTTACTAATCATAACAGATTCGAGTAATAATATGCTGTAAAGATAATGTATCCTTCCATTTATATGTGTAAGCTATATGATGTCTTACAAAAAAAAAAGACTTGTTCAGTCTGTGATATTGATATGATGACTGAGCAGCTCGTTATTTTAAGCTTTGTCGAATTGATTCGAAGAGAAACACAAAATTTCTTCAAAAACTTGCCAAGAAATTAAATAATACACCTGGTGTATTATCTACAGATTTGATTATGTGATTTTTTTCTATGAACCGTTTTATGTTTACTATAATTTTAAAAGTCTAAATAATAATAGACGATAAAAAAGCTTTTATACAAACATTGAAGCGATATAAATTCGAATACTATGAATTTTTCTGACCAGTTACTTTCAAAATTCGTTTGTGTAAAGATAATTTGATAATTTTTCCATATACATATTTTTTTCAGTTTTGCTATTGCAACAGAACGACGTAATTAAACTGTGATTTTAACACTATTTGACAAGAATTTCTTTTACTTGGCGAAACCGGCACAATTGTGTAAATTGCATGTGAAAACCAATTATAATAGTTTTTATTTCGAGTGAGCTATCAAATGTTAAGAATGATGGCGTATCAAAAATATTTTATGAATTAAGATTGTTAATAGGGTGTGGGTGTAAGCGAAAAGAATATTTACACCTACACCTACGTCCCATACCATTATTCATGAAAATTTTTCCCAAAGACTTTTGGGACACCCTGTACTACTCACAAGCTTAGAATCATTTTCCTACAAATAACTCTGTCAAATGATCAATATTTACAAAAACGATATCGATTCGGATGTGCGCATGAATGAAAGGAGTGCCCACACTTACATCCCTCTCTTAGAAAAAAAATATAATAGAAAAAACGCTTTATAAACATAGCAAACTAATTGACCTAGACAAGAGTCGCCAAAATCAAGCCACATCAAACACTGTAAACAAAAAATTTTAATGTTTTCTCTCTCGGTATTTTTCTTTTACTGTGTTAACAAAAAACACAACTCAATATTGACGAAGAATGATAAAGCATCATACACCATCGATTTTACTATTCAAACTACAAATTTAACTTTCGATCTCGTTAGTGCTTACAATCATTCATTAACTTCTACTATTATAATTATACCACACATATGGTGTAATACACATTTGCTTTTAAAACTGCCTCTCAGCAATCACCTGCACGTCTAAATCAATCCTCTTTTATGTTCCTATGTTCCAAAGAAAACAATACAGTCGAAATATGTATTTTATTGAAATAAATAAATATAGTCAATCTATTATTTTTATACATATATAAAATAACAATCTAAACACATCTCTTTGATCAAATAAAGTTGAAAATACGATTAAACCATATAAATAATAATAATTTTTATTGAGGAATTACAAAACGGTATTTCAGTTTCAATTAAATTATAAACTCAGCTGGCACATATGTGTGCTGAGCAAATGAGCATTTGATTGGTATCCGGCTTCGATCATGGACATAAACGAAGTGACACGAAACAGTTGTAAGTTTATATTAGAAAACAATGGTAAATAAGGAAACTCAAAAATATTGCATACTTCTGCGGATAATAAAATGTGTGTTGATTACAGGTATAAAGAATACTTTTGAAATTGAACAGATTACCAGAAAGAAGCTGGACAAGTTGCTTATTATATTTATTCAACATATCGATGTCATAACAACAAATATACATTTTCTGTTACTTGAAATCAACCTGATCAACGCACGAATCTTAGATCACTACTATCAAGTTTTTAGTTTTGAAATATATGTGAAAAAGGATCAATTTAACGATTTTTCTACACAATAATATCTACACTTGAATATCCATCCATGAGCCACACAAGTGTATATGCATCGAAATGCATCACAACATGTTACATTCGTACAATTGTCATTGAATTTTCCACACATCACGTCTGAAAATAGAAATAAAATTATGATAAAACCATTTTGTTAGAAAATTTGATCATGTTAAGTATACGTTATCGCATTTTCGTAGAATTGTTCTAGCCGTAATAATGCTAACGTACCTATCACTATTTACAAGCTTTTTCCTTTTCTCAGCTATCGATATTGCAATTCAATCTTAAAATGAAGAAAACATTCAGATGCATACGAGTAACAGAGCTCGATTTTTAAAATTTGGACTTCTTTTCAATTATTTCATGTTATGGAAAACATAAAAAAAAATAAATAGACTACTTCCGTGTCTCTTGGCTCAAAACCACTTTCTTCGTAGATGTAAGATGGTTATTACATAGCTGTGTCAGTATTGAATTAACGAATTTTGATTGGTTAGGTGAGCACACACTGTATCATAGACGACATGAATAAAATCCTCTCATATGGCTACTTTGTCAATGAAGCAGAAGAAGAGCTGATAAAATTTTAAAAAAATGAATGTAAGATCTTTCTAAATTACATACCTTCTGGCAATGGGGTGCTAACAGTCGAAAAGAATAGAATGACGAAGATGAATAAAGTCAAACATCCAAAGCTGCTTTCAATAATCATATTTTGATCGTTAGTGGGAACTAATAGCATATGGTGACCGACCACTCCACTGATAAGAACTTAGAAAAATACAGGGCAGGGGGTTGATTTATGCTACAGATTATTACGATTCGTTTGCTTTATCTTTCTGTAAAACCACAAGTGATATAATCAGAAATTGACAGAGAGAATATGTAAATGATCAGAATTGTTGGCTATTGGTTGCCCATTTAATTTATCTCTAGAAGGAAAGTGTTACAGAGAATTCTTCTTCATAATTACCATCTCTTCCATAATTCACAAAGAAAATCCTGCTTTTTATTGGAAAGCTTCTTCCTATCTCTCTCGGTTATTGACATTGCAGTTTAAATTAACCAAGAAGTAGTGTAGCAAAAACTTTGTATTTTAAAGCCTGTCGGATTATTGCTTGTAGAGTGTGCAAGAAAACAAGATCCGCATATGCACGCACAACAATTCCTACACACATCAACACATTATGGTCCCACTTGACACTTCCATGTCATTGTTCACGTAGGATATTCCGCATTGACAACAATTAATTATTATGAGCTCGTGCCATGCAACATGAAAAGTTCTATCTCTTAAACTCTGTTGCAACAGAAACAACTAAGTAAACACCTTTCAGTTTGTATAATTACCATGAAGACAAAATCAACAATACACTTTTTTTATTCTTTTCTTTTCTCTTAGCAAACCAACTGTATTTTAACATTGTATGGCTGCAGTAACTACGCATTTACATGAAATCAGCAGCTTTTCAAATGAGAGGGGTTGCACAACCACTTTGCCATCGCCGAAATATTCGTCGTTTTTAAGTGTCACTTTAACGCTGAAAACAAAAGTGACAGAATAAACAATTTCAAAATGAAGCACACCCATTTCATAATTTTTTCTTCAGATTTGAGTTGAAACACTGTAGTCTTGTCTTTCGATAGAATTTGTAGCTAAGACTAAAAACATAAATTGACGATCATCATTCTAATTAAGCTGTCGAAAGTAAACAGGTGAGGATCTTCCTTTCTACCTAGACCATGACTGTCATTCTAACTGCACCTTCTCACAAGTCAGAAATGACGACAAATATAGATTCAAAAGTGGTACCTATACAGTCAAATGTATTTATGAATTGAGATTTAACAATAGTTTTCAAGAGGGCTTTCGAAACTTAGTATAAAATATTCCGAATAACGCCTTGCATCATGGATATATCAGTATGTTGATATTCCCAAACTCAAACATGTGTTGCAGAATCTTTTATTTTGCAGTATATGCAAATCAATCGTCTCAAAGCAGACGATGTTATCGCATAGAAAAAAAGTCTCATAGAAATGCTTCTTGACAAGAATTATCTGATCATCTTTGGAACAGAGACCGACTCACTCTTTAAATGTTCGATTGAAACCCTTAACTGTCTTGAACCTTGCATATTCTAAGTACACATGGTCAACAGTAATTAACAAGGAATAATAGTGACAGT